TGAAGTGCGAAGTGAGAAGTGTGAAGTGTGAAGTTTGGAGTGTGAAGTTTGGAGTCGGAAGGAAGCAGTGAGAAGTGAGAAGTGTGAAGTGTGGACTGTGAAGTGTGGAGTGTGAAGTGCGAAGTGAGAAGTGTGAAGTTTGGAGTGTGAAGGAAGCAGTGAGAAGTGAGAAGTGTGAAGTGAGAAGTGTGAAGTGTGGACTGTGAAGCGTGGAGTGCGAAGAGCGCAGCGTGAAGTGTGAAGTGTGAGGTTTGGAGTGTGAAGGAAGCAGTGAGAAGTGTGAAGTGTGGACTGTGAAGTGTGAAGTGTGAGTGAAGTGTGAGTGAAGTGTGGAGTGTGAAGTGCGAAGTGAGAAGTGTGAAGTGTGAAGTTTGGAGTGTGAAGTTTGGAGTGGGAAGGAAGCAGTGAGAAGTGAGAAGTGTGAAGTGTGGACTGTGAAGTGTGGAGTGTGAAGTGCGAAGTGAGAAGTGTGAAGTTTGGAGTGTGAAGGAAGCAGTGAGAAGTGAGAAGTGTGAAGTGAGAAGTGTGAAGTGTGGACTGTGAAGTGTGGAGTGTGAAGTGCGAAGTGGGAAGTGTGAAGTGTGAAGTGTGAAGTTTTGAGTGTGAAGGAAGCAGTGAGAAGTGAGAAGTGTGAAATGTGGAGTGTGAAGTGTGAAGTGCGAAGTGAGAAGTGTGGACTGTGAAGTGTGAAGTGTGAAGTGTGGACTGTGAAGTGTGAAGTGTGAAGTGTGGACTGTGAAGTGTGGAGTGTGAAGTTTGAAGTTTGGAGTGCGAAGAGTGCGGTGTGCAGTGTGAGGTGTGGAGTGTCGAGGGAAGGACACGGTCGGGACAGGTTGTCTTTGAACTATAGGTCATTTATGTTTGGGAAACTTCCGCCGCCGGCTTGCCCGGGTCTATGTTATAAGGTTAATATCAACTTGATATGATACTTGAGGATATGGAGATATCAATGGGGATATGGAGATATCAATGGGGATATTGATATCATCCAACCATTATCAACTTATAGCAACCCCCCAACAAGATAGAACTGTGTTTCCGGGATGGTATCGATGATGTTTTCCCCATCATTCCATGTTTTCAATGGGGATCTTATCCAACCATTGAGGATATGACCATTATGACCAAGAAAGAACAATGAGGATATTGATGGGGATATTCATGGGGATTTATCATGACTTATCCAACCACCATGGGTTTTAAATGGGTATAACCTCAACTTAATATGATATGTAGCTGTGCGCTTTCCCTGTCCCATCTGTTGCCCAGCTCCATGGCATGCACTGGATACCCTGGTGCATGAGAGGCAACGCTTTCCATGTTGCTGTGGTTAACGCTTTCCGCGTTCTGTGGGGTCCTCATGGAAGTCGGCCGGGAGCGGAATTCCACCCGATTTTGTTAGTTGGGCGCGTCTTCCGCACGTGCGTAGGCCTGCTTTGTTGGTCGGTTATCCTGTCCTAGACTTTGGGACGAATGTTGAGGATGTAGAATGATAAATCATTGGATTCTGGGGGCACACCATTTTCAGCCCTAAACGGATGTTTCCACTGAAAAGCTATGGAACATCTGTTTTGGTCGCCAGGTTGTGGAAGTGGAGATGGAGTTTTTCGGCACCTCCAGACCCACGGCATAGGATGGGTTTTTCCATGTCAGCTGCTGTCAGCTGCTGTCAGCGCTTCCCGTCCCGCCGCTGCCAAGTGGCTGAAGACTTGGGAATGCAGTTGGTTCTGCCTGGAGATCGCTGGAGATATCGCTGGATGTCGCGGTCCAAAAACTCGGGGACCCCCAATGGGACCCCCAATGACCCAATGACCCAATGGGAATTTGAATCAACTTCATCATCAACGAGGTAACGAGGATCTTTTGAATTTCCTTTTCAAACGAAAACTGTTTGATGATACAACGTGTATCTGATGCCCCACAAAGTGAGATGATTCAGTGCGGGTGAGAGACGGTCGTGCAAAGGATTTGGCATTCCACCAGATGATAGAACCTGCGGTGCGGGGCAACCACACCATGGCACTGTTTCCCGTATCGAAAAGGGAAGTGACTAAAATCATCGCTCTGAAATAGTTGAGCAAGCACCCCTTCATCAATGATATAAGTCAGCTTCTCCCAGTCTCAACTTGAAAGTCCTTCTTTCGCAGCAAAATCTGAGTACCTCAAGCACCAGCCGGTTACTTCAAGGATAAGGATCCAACCGTCCCATTCCCAACCATTTCCTCCATGTTGCCACCTGGTCTCCCTCTGCATAGAACTCCTGACATGTCGGGTGATGAGAGAATACCATGACACTAGGCGCAGGTAAGCCACATCTTTCTGAGGAATACCATTTCCATTCCAAGTTCCAAGTCATAATAAGTCATCATAAGTCATCAAAAGTCACCATCATCATAAGTCATCATAAGTCATCATAAGTCATCATAAGTCATCATAAGTCATCATAAGTCATCATAAGTCATCATAAGTCATCATAAGTCATCATAAGTCATCATAAGTCATCATAAGTCATCATAAGTCATCATAAGTCATCATAAGTCATCATAAGTCATCATAAGTCATCATAAGTCATCATAAGTCATCATAAGTCATCATAAGTCATCATAAGTCATCATAAGTCATCATAAGTCATCATAAGTCATCATAAGTCATCATAAGTCATCATAAGTCATCATAAGTCATCATAAGTCATCATAAGTCATCATCATCAGTCATCATAAGTCATCATAAGTCATCATAAGTCATCATAAGTCATCATAAGTCATCATAAGTCATCATAAGTCATCATAAGTCATCATAAGTCATCATAAGTCATCATAAGTCATCATAAGTCATCACAAGTCATCACAAGTCATCATAAGTCATCATAAGTCATCACAAGTCATCACAAGTCATCATAAGTCATCATAAGTCATCATAAGTCATCATAAGTCATCATAAGTCATCATAAGTCATCATAAGTCATCATAAGTCATCATAAGTCATCATAAGTCATCATAAGTCATCATAAGTCATCATAAGTCATCATAAGTCATCACAAGTCATCAGTCATCACAAGTCATCATAAGTCATCATAAGTCATCATAAGTCATCATAAGTCATCATAAGTCATCATAAGTCATCATAAGTCATCAGTCATCAGTCATCATAAGTCATCATAAGTCATCATAAGTCATCATAAGTCATCATAAGTCATCATAAGTCATCATAAGTCATCATAAGTCATCATCATCAGTTATCATAAGTCATCATAAGTCATCATAAGTCATCATAAGTCATCATAAGTCATCATAAGTCATCATAAGTCATCAGAAGTCATCACAAGTCATCATAAGTCATCATAAGTCATCATAAGTCATCATAAGTCATCATCATCATAAGTCATCATCATCAGAAGTCATCATAAGTCATCATAGTCATCATAAGTCATCATAGTCATCATAAGTCATCATAAGTCATCATAAGTCATCATAAGTCATCATAAGTCATCATAAGTCATCCAAATCTTCTGAATCTTCGGAATCTTCCAAGTGGAAGGTGATGCAACATGATCCAATGAACCAGCAGCCATCTCCAGCCACCTTCCATCTCCGTCCTCGTAGACTTGGCAATTCCACGCCCGAGCAGTTCGGATAGGTCTGGTGGGGTTGCTGACATCAGCAGCCTGGCATCAGCCCATCAACATCCCAATTAGCCTCTGGTAAACTCACACTTTGCTATTGAACATGGCCCATTTATCGTTGATTTACATATTAAAAATAGGGTGATTTTCCATAATTATCTTACTTTACCAGAGGGTATGATGAGTATGATGGTGCCATTCCATTCCCAGCGAATCTACGATGACGACATCTACCATGACATCTACCATGGATCTAGGCCGTGCAAGTCTCCACAATCTCCACCCATCCTGACAGCATCCATCATCCGGTCATCATCATCATCATCATATACTGTATATAAATGTACATATAATAGACTATATGTGTATATACATATATATAAATGTATATATATATAACATTATATATATATGTATATATAACTAGTATATATATATATAACTATACAACTATATATATATATGCCTTCCCATCATCCCATCATCCCGGACTCATATCCCTGACCTTCAGCAGCATCTGTATCAGCAAGATGCTCTGCTCCGTTCCCGCTTGGAAAAAGACCTCCAGCTCCGAGGCATCGGACGCCGCCTGCGGAGATGCGGGAGGATCCCTGGAAGATGCACTGGGATGATATGGATATGAATCAAGTAATACATATCTCTAGAACATAATTTTAAATGATGTATAATATTATTATTGTATAAATCACACACACACACATATATATATACATATATATATACATATATATATATATACATATATATATATATACATATATATAAGGTTTCGGCTGCAGCCCCCACGATAGCAGACCGTTTAACCTTAGCGGGAAGCCATCCCGCGGGCCCCGTTGTCACGGCCTTGGTGAGCTTTGCTTGGTCTTCTACGTGTTCCGGCAACTCACTTTCGTGTCCCAGCACGCAAATCCTGGGTTAGGTTTCTGCAGGTGTACCTTGAACACCTGTTGGCATTGTGCTCTGCCTTCTCACTGGAGAGGCATCACCTTACACGGGCCTTCATCATTGAGATTGACCCGGTTTTTTGGCTTTGGTTTTACCTGCTTTCCCACTGGCTGTCTTCGGACCCTGGCATTGCAAGGTACATTCCAATATTTACAATTCATTTTATTCTGTTGGTGGATTAGCAATATTTGGTCTGGGCTTGTTTGCGCAGTCGATCTTTCCTGGTCGAACTCCCCTTTCTATTTGCTCTCGCTCCACTTACATTTCAATTTGATTGACTTTGATTTGGATTTCCTCTTCTGGAATTTTGCTAAGCTGTACCGCGAGGAGGCTTTTCATCCAGTTGATGCAGGTGATAGTGCTCTTCTTCACACTCCTTGTGAACAACGACACTTTCTACCAATTCTCAGAGGCGCCGGTTCAGACGACAAAGAGCTGTAGCCCGCTTTCTGTGGCACAAACATCGCACAGGGCAAGCAGCGCTTACCTACAAGCAGCTGCACAAGATCCACAACAGGTTGTCTCGACATCATTCTCGAGACCCAGTCTTCGTTGCCAACATCATGGCAAACATGGAGACGTATCCCTGGCATTGCAGCTGTGGACGCCTCAATGGCAAGCGCCATGTGCATTGCCCGGCATGCAAGGCACACTGGAGCGCTGGTGTCCCACACAGCAACGAGCCAAAGAGTCCAAGGACTTACAACTACCACGAAGATCAGTCGGAACAATGGGACTGGCAGAATCGTGGCAGGAAGACTCAAAGGAAATGGAAGGGCCATCAGCATCGGCCTTACGACAGAAGCGAGAGTGCGAGACGCAGAGAAAAAGGAGGTGGAAAAGGAAAAGGGAACAAAAGTGCCTCAACTGCTCAACAAGCACCTGTGCCACCCACTGCCAGTGCACTTTCACATGCAGAGCTTCTGTCAGCCGTCCGCAAGAACTACCCGGACATTACTCAGGCCCCGGAGGACATCCAGAGAGCCGTGGAGAAAGCCGAGAAGTTCACATCGAAGGCCCTTACCACAGATTTGAACAAAGCCTCCAAACAGGTAGGCAAAGCAGCCAGGCAATTGTCGCAAGTCAAGGATGCAAGAACATCCCATCGACAAAACTGGCTCAAACACCTCAAGGACTCTGTTGTCAGCTGGCAGAAACAGCTCCAGCTCTTCAAAGACCAACAGAAAGAGTATGGAGATCAATTGAACAGAGCGCAACAAGAGCTCAACATCGCTCGCAGACATCTACAGCAGCTGAACAAGCAGGCTGCTGCAGTGGGAGCGCCGCTCTCCACCGAAACAGGCGATGCCATCCCAGAGTCGGCAGAGGGGGACACCAACTCCACCTTCGAGATGGAAGCTCAAGCTCTAGTTCAACAAGTGCAAGAAAG